CCGCGCTCGAGGCGCCCCCTCCGGCTGAGGAGTGGGCCGCGGCCCCCGCAACGGAGAGAAGGAGGCGGGAAGAAGGCGGCCTGGAGGTGCGCGGAGGCGGCAGGTACTCACCGCCCGGCCCGCGCCTCTCCGCTGAGCCCCTCCTCCCGGGTGCTGCGGCTCGCGAGCGTCCTCCGCACGTCAGGAACCGGAGGTCGGCGGGAGCGCGAAGCTGAGGCACCACAGCGAGTAGACGCGCTCGGGCGGGAGGGGGAGGCGCATGCGCGGGCGTCCGGGGACGCAACCACAACGCGCGCGGGGGAGGCCGCTGCCAGGACGTACCAACTGTGCGAGGCGGGGGCGCGTCAGCCCAGGCGGGGTCTCCAAACAGGCAGGGCGCCTCCCCGCGCTCTAGCAGTGCGTCCGTTTGCTTTATCATTTACTAACACTTTGAGGGAAACCAAAGAGTAGCAACAGGGTCCCAAAACCCTACAATGAAACCTTCAAAGCCTTCTCAGCCACACTAAGCCTCCTCTGGCCCTTTCTTTGCATGTATCTAAAGCTATACTGAAATTATCTGTTTATATGACCACTTGAAAATTATCTCCCAAGGTAGTTGTTAAAGTCTGATCATTTCGAGGGAAGAAGGGAATCTGGGAAATGGAAACTCCTAGAGCTGCCAGGTGGAAGTGTAAAATTAGAACAGACATTATTGGTGAAATTAAAAATGTGCATTTCTTGGCCCAGCGATTTCATGTCTACAGGTGTGCAGAAGAAATGTTCATATTCAAGCCCGATTCCTTGCGAAAAAATGTAAACAGCGGAAACGTACAGTAAGACATGGAGGAACAAAACGTGATACGTTCCTACAATAAAATATTACAACAAATAAAACTAATAAATGAGTCCTATACTTATCAACATTTGACAGCTCATAGGAGTTGCTGAAATAGCAACATGCCAACAAAGATGTACACGTGAAATGATTTCTGTAAATTTAAAAATACATAAAATGACAGCATATACTGATTATAGAAAATATATGTGTGTGAAGTATAGATAATGAACTAGATGAATATATGGATACTCACTGTGATAATATGAGGGCAGGAGATGGGAGAGGGGTGGAAGCCAGGATGAATGGGAAGGAGAAATAATAAGACTTCTGACAGACCTGTAATGTTTCTTTAAAAAAGAAGCCTAAACATACTTTTAACAGCTGGATAGTGTAACTATAGGTGCATTATTCTTAGTACTTTTTTTGGTAACATTTAATTCTGGAATGCCCTTTTCTTATCCCCTCAAGTCACCTACCTCCAACTGATCCTCCAAACACCAGCTCAACCATTTCTTCCTCTGCCTCCTCTAACCCCACTTCATTTCTCCTCCTTGCTTTCTCAGCCGCTGGGGTATTCGATCACCCAGGGAATACTGTAATTATCTGATGCACCCATAGCTTCTATAAGACCTGTGGACTTTCTGAAGACATGGTCCATATAACCCTAGCAAGTAGTAAAGAGCCTGGCTAAAAATAAACATTCATGTTGATTGAATTGAATTGGATAGGGGGAGATAAGAAAATGTTTCAATGTACGGCCAGAAATGTCCTTTTGAAGCATCTTACTTCAGAGAAGAATGTTGATGCAATTGTTGTTAGCAGCAATCTTGAAACCCTGAGGAGAGTCAGCCTATGGTAGGCAGCCTGTAAGATGGCCCCCAGTCATCCTGCCTCCTGGCATTCACATTCTTGTGTAATCTCCTTCACCTTGAGTGTGGACTACACTTAATGACTCACCTTCAAAAATATATAATATGGCAGATAGGATGTCATTTCCAAGACTAAGTTATCAAAAGACTGTGGCTTCCTTCCTGGGCATTCTCACCCTCTTGATTTGCTCACTTTAGGGGAATCCAAATGCCATGTCATGAGGCAATCATGTGGAGAGACCCACTTGTGAGAGAGGATTCCTACCCGACCCTCAAGCTGACAGTTCGACCACAACCTCATAAAAGAGGTTAAGTCAAAGGCACCACTGGGCTAAACCATACTTTAATACTCAACCCACAGAAACTATGTTTATGTTTTAAGCCACTAAGTTTTGGGGTAATTTGTTACATAACAACAGATAACAAATACACATCTTAGAAGAGGGAAAAACAAAATAGTAGAGTGAGGGCCCTGGGCATATATATGTGGAGACATTCCACTTCTGGGCTTTGAGATATCAGGTAATAAATTTCATTAATATTTATGTCACTATGAGTCATGTTTTCTGTTACTTGCAGCAGACAACATCCTGGCTGATAGAAGTCTGAATGATATATAGTACAGTATATTCACATAATAGAATAACACAGAACAATTTAAAGAAATGAACTAGATCTCATATGTCATCATGGATATATCTCAAAAGATGATATTAACTTTAAAAAGCAAGTTACAGGATGATGCAAGCTCCATGAGAACAGGGAATTTATTTTGTGCATTATTGTATCACCAGTACTTAGAACAGTCCTAGCACATAGTTGAGAAGAATGAATGATATGCTCAGAATGATTCCATTTATATGAACACACACTCTTACACAAATAATATTATAGGTTTTTTAAGGTAATAGATATGTGTAAAAGTATTTTCATAGGCCTGGGAGGATACGTGGATACATAATAAGCAGAAAATAGAGAATACTTCTGGAAAGGGAGCTAGAGGTCCAAAATTGGGAAAAAGGGATCTTACTATATCTGTAATGTCCTCATTTTATTGTTAGAATTACTGTGTAATTAAAAATGAATAAACTACGTATTATAAAGCAAACAAGTTAATCACTGGAGACCACATTTCTGTGCTCATCTCTTTTTTTCTAAAGCTTCTCTTGCCATTCCTGCACAGAACTTCCTGTCATTTTTAAAGTGCGTTATTTGTTAATACTGGGAAAATCATTTATTTATAACTCTTCATGTTCCACGTGGGAGCACTACAGTTAGTGTAATAAGCCTGGCCCCTCTCCACGTCCTCACTCATTCCTCCCAGAGTAGGACTGACTTATATGACTGGTAGGTTTCAGAGAAAGAACTGCACATGCTTTGCCCAGCCCTTTCCTCACTCTCTCTCAGATCTGCCCGCCTGTATGAAGCTCACATTCTCTGCTCTAACTTTTTTGACACATCACATCATCCCTCACCTCTCCTATATCCATCAAGGAAAGCAAAACTGTTTAGGTGTACCTATAACAGAGCAAGTCCATCCAATTCAGAATTGATGTATAAGCAAGGTTACTTGGTTAACACACTAATCTTTCAATTGGTTCCAGTCTTGGGCAGGGGACAGGAATATTATTTATTAACCTCCTCAAACCATAATAATAATAAGGGAACTGGTAGTTCTTTATTTTTAAAAATATATATAAGGCTATATAATTATCTATTCATGTAAAACTGTAACAAAAGAGAACACTACCGAAGTACACATGCATAGGATCCAAGAAAATGCTAGGAGAGTTTCAGGTACATGTGCACAGCACTTGGTTAGCCACGTTATAATCGTTTCTTTTTCTTTTTCTTTTCTTTTCTTTTTTTTTTTTTTCTTTTTTTGGTCTTAGCATTTAGTGTACATTTTGGGTGCTTTTAAATTTATATTTATAAAGAATACATGCCATTAGATAGTGTTCTTGATTCCATTTTGAAACAAAAATTTCCTTCGCTTTTTTAAATCTTCCATCTCAGTTTAACTGAAGAACAGCTTGAGATTGCAAGCAAGCTATTTTAAAGCTGTTATAATTAACTAATACTCACCTATGTGAATCTGAATTTTTTTAGATATTGTAAGCCAAAATAAAAGAGACATATGCCTTCAATAATATAAAATACATATACATATGTTTATTCATTAAATTATTCAGTATTAAAAAATACTGGAAAGAACTCTCCATTCATAGGAGAATGAAACATCCAATTAAGGGAGTAATATGCAGTAGCAAAACAAACAAAAACCACACACACACACACACACACACACACACGCAACAAAGGATAACTTACAAACTAGAAACCAGTCATCTACTAGGAATGGGTAGACTCAAAGGGGAAAGAATGATGGGGGAAGTAACCGTTGGAATGGGATAGAAATGTTGGGGGAAGATAGTCTATGTTAATACCTTCTTGTACAGTTCTAGTTTTGGAACCATGTTAATATTTCACACACTAAAAAATAAAATCAACAAGGATGAGGAGAAAACTAAAGGAAATATAATCTAAAACAAGTAAACCAAACTGTACCCCAAATGAATAACATAACCACACTGAAGGAGCAGGGACACAATGCACACTTTAAGAAGGGATAAAACTGAATGCATGCATACATACATATACACACGCACACAAATGTATGCATCCTCGGTCTGTGCACTGAGAGAGCCAAGACGCAATGACACCTCAACAGCAATGAGAGCACTTAGCCCCAGATCTTGGTTTTTAAAAAGTATTTCCTACTACATAGAAGTAGGGGTCCTCAGAGAATCGGCTGACTCCTGGGAAAGTACAAGATGAGCCTGGGGCATCTGATTGTGCAGGAAAGTAAAGAAATGTTCAAAGAAGGATGAGGACATGTCAAACATACAGAGGAGCCAACTTGAAGGGTCAAATTTGGGACAAGATAAACATCAAAATAAAAAATGACAGGCGTGGATTATAACACATTAAATAAAATAATAATTATTGAGTCTACATTGATATAAATAAATAAATAAGAAGGAACAGCTCTTCCATTAGGTAGAATGTTAACTAATAAAACGTAGAAGGAATGATGAAATTTTAAAAAACCACCAATTGGCAACCACCAGAGTAATAATTAAGGCAAGTGTCATCAATAAATGCTAAAACTAGGGAATGTAAGGTTGATGACTAGCAGGATATCTATATAATCTCAAAGAATTTCCTCACAAGTTATTTCTTAATTGCAAAGGGAAAAACAGTAGCTTCACAGTGGAGAAAACTAGTGGGTACCACCTTAACTAAGTGATCAGAGATATTATCACTCGTAGCAACACACATCAACATCCTGTACAACTTGATATGATGCCACTGGTATCACTCACTGCCAGAAATGCATAAACTTGAAGCTAATCATGGATAAATAGAGATAAACCCAAACTGAGGGACAGTCTACAAAATAACTGGTCTGTACTCTTTCAATATATCAATGGCATGAAAGACAAAAGCTGAGGAATTCTTCCAGACTAAAGGCAATCAAAGAGACATGATAACTGAATGGAACTTATGATCTGGAATTTT